ATGTTACCTCGCTCTGATGATGTCCATCATATGACGGACGAAAGCTCAGCACGGGTTCACCGGAATCGAAAAAGATTGCCTCGGAAACAGCGTCAGCATGAATCACGCACGAAACTAAGCAAGTTTGCACCGGAATCGAAGAAGATTACCTCGGAAACAGCGTCAGCATGAATCTGCCAGTAAAGCCAATCGACAGCTGGTCAAGAGGAATTCGCCGTCGTCTTCTGGTGGAACCGACCTTCGAATCACTTCACCCAATACTTCTACTCGAAATCGAAGTAAGCCCAACAAAAGGAATTCTCATCAAGGATGGATTGGACTGCAGTTTCAGCCTCGTTCAGGTATCATCAGCACACAGCGGGATTCTAACTCAGGTTATGTAAGTGCAGTGTATAATCTCGACACGTACACCTCTACTACACATTGCAACCAGTACCATTGGGTCAAAGGATAGATGTTAATTTCATGGAAGGCCAGAACTTTCTATGATAGGATCGTCAACAAAAAAAATTGGGTTTGCTATCACTTGTTTTTCGTTTATGAGTAGATTTTAAAGACTAATTGTAGGTAATGTATATGGGATGTAATGTTGGGGAGACATTGAGTTCGTATAATAGTGCCGGATTAAAGGATTCGAAGGCCGATCTAACCGGAAGACGACGGCTGATTCCCGATGTACTGAAGCCGTTTGGCTTTCTTAAGACGTTCAGGTTGACGCAGCCCACGACATCCTCCCTCGTTTCGGATAAAAACGGGTTGGGCTTACGTTCATCATATGAAGTTAGCATGAGGTCCAGAAAAATGTACGGATCTAACCTACCTTAAATATATATTCATAACTAAAAAACGAAAATATATAGACATAAATAGATATAGAATGATTTGGATAATTATCTTTCCTATTAAACAGCGTACATTTGCTTGAGAGTCTGCGTATGTGTGCGTCTGCGTAATAATGTATATACACAATACCGGTGCTGAATAGGAATGATTACATCGTTCTAATGTTGGGCTTGGATCATCAAGGCTTATTGACCAAAGAAGAACCCCAACCAAAACATCGTAAGTCAGTAGGCATCTATGGTTGAGATAATGAGATGTAAGATGATAGGTGTGTAAGTCGGGTTACGAAAATACCAGTCCTAAACGCTCAATCTATGGTCATTATGGTTTGACGACCCAAGAAAGAAAGATGACTAGGATTGCATAATCTACTATGTCTGTTTGGTTGATGGGTTTAATCTAAATGTTAGACGGGTGTTACTGAGGTTAGAATGATAAATGGGCTGACAGGTAGCATTGCCTTATTTTTAATGGCGAATAAACACCCGCTCTCTCCCTCCCTCTCTAAATCATGCACAAATATTTCTTACTCAACTTTCTACCACAGTTGATCGCATTCAACGTATTCTCTAATCTATTAATTTCAAGAGCCTTTCTCATCTTTTTTTTAGTAGCAGACCTAGAATAATCAGCAAACCTACGAGCTTGAAACCATTCCATCACATTTCCAATCTCTGGCCGGTGTGCTCGGCCAATTCTGACGGTTGGACCCAGTTGTCTTTGCAAGCATTTTGTCTTCCCTCAATTTTCGGTGAATAGGCTGACACGTCTCATCAGCATAAGGTCGACAGCAGGAGGAGGTTATCTTGTAACAGGGGGATCTCGATAATGGATCATATTTCTCTTTAAAAGATGGCATATCCAAAGTGTCAGGGTTTCTTTGAACACTGTTTTTATCTCCCAGCTTCCTCGCTAGTTGGCCTATCCTCTTTGTAATAAGGCATGACGGCAAAATTAGGCTGTGAGTAAAGATCTAATGTCTATACTTGACTAAATAGTCTCCGTCTAAGAGATATTATTAATAATTAGGTTCAAAGGATAATTATTTTAAAGGAATAAATTTTTCAGTCCTTCCAGCCTTTTAATTAAATGGTTACTATCCGCTAGTCTCATAGTCATAATAATAAATGACTTCAAAATTCCAACCTTAGTTTTGTAATTATGGTAGAAAGATAAGCTTAGTGAAGAGCCAATATATGAAAGACAAAAGTTACGTACTATCCCCTAAAGCTATACTTGATAAATTGATTACCTTACCCTTCAAAAGTTTGTTAAAAACCTAGTTACTGCGACTTACATCATACACAAAATATCTCGAATTGGTTATAATTTCTAAGTTCTTGAGCTTGCTCCTTGTCATTCTATCCATGGCCTCTCTTATACCGTCATTAATACACTTTAATTTAAGGAAATCTACATCAGTCAGAACTTGAGAAAGGATTGTATAAGCCTGGTTTCTGTTCTAATTAGTATAGTCTGCTAATACATTCATTAAGCTTTGTTTTAACCAAACCACACAATAAATGATCAAGTTCAAAATTGGTGGACCTTGGTAGATCAGAGCGCCTACCGAGGAGACAACATATCGGAAGAGCAGTATGAGAAATAAAATTTGTAAAAATCTTGTTTGGTCGGGAATTTTTAATAGCTTTGATTTAGAATTGGTATTGCGTATAGACGGAAAACATAGACACGCCCACTCAATTAAAACAACTATCATGAACGGGAATTAGCCTAATTATTATTTAGCTGTCTATGCCTATACATCTTCGGACAATCTTCTTGACCTCATGTTAGCTTAAGATTTTTACACAAATGAGTTTCGTCTCTGAAGCTGTCCATCATATTAAGTACGAAAGTCAGACTATTTTCATTCAAAACAAGAGAGTAAGTCTTGTAGACTGTGTCAACCTGAACGTCGTATTAAAGCCAAACGGCTGCAGTACAACGGAAATTTGCCATCGTCTTCTGGCGAGATTAACCTATGAATCTTTTCTTCATTTACTTTCATATCGAATGAAAGTCTCCCAAATAAACATCAGAATCAGATTCACTCCGTAACGCGGCAGATGGTGAAAGTTTCGAAATTTTTCATGCACTATTGCCTTACGAAATTCCTTTTTTAAGCGAATTTTGATACGAATCCTAGCTAATGTACAGCCTATGTACAAATAGTGAATGTATAAAATTGTCCACGTCTAGAAGAATATATTTGGAAAATTCAGCATGCATATTTACAGACCCAATGGAATTCTAAATGCCTTACAATTGTGAATGTAAGTGAAATTCGTATCTTTCTATAGAAATAGATGGTTCGCAGTCAAGTTGATCACTATGACCAGGTGATGCATCTAGAAGTTTATGTCAACTATACCATACCATCATTGCTACGGAGTGCAGATGCATGGGCTAAGCAGTATAAGACTAAGCGAAAGCGGAAAATACGAGCAAAGATTTTGTCCGATAGTCGGCGCAACAGTCATATTTTCTGAGGATATTTATTGAAGGTTAATGGGACTCCCTGAATAGATTGAGAGTAGCATATCTTTCAGGTGTCTGGCTAGGCGAGTGGAAAGGAGTCACGAATTGGCCTCACCATAGACCAAAGGAAGGATGCCTTAAAATTATTACTGGATTTGTGCAAATAAGTTCTCAATTCACCGTCCCGCGACTGTGGTGAATCCGTTCTGAGTTCGTGCCCGTAACCAAATTTGCAGTCACAACTTAAATTCCGGTAGGTCAATGTACGAATCATTTCACACGCTTCACCCAACAAAATGAAATGTGAATCAACGTCAAAACGGACTGTTCGAAGAAGTTCACAGTTCCAAAGACTCATGTGGTCCAAAGTTGTTTAAGTCCTTTCTCACCTCCTGGTCGTACGATCACCAGCTCGGCATGCGAGAGTGGACCTTCCCCTTCAGAATTGACTGCACTAACACAAATCGCATATGTCGCATTTGGCGTCAGATGCGTCAGCAGTTTAAGCATCACTCCGTATGCCGACCTATCCAACTTGGTCAAGCCAGACGTTGCTTCTGATCCGGTATTCGTGACAGCAACATCTTGACGTAACTCCTCCGCTTCTTGGTATTCCATGTCCTCGGCCGCATCATCAAGGCCGCTTTGGTCACCCGAATTCGCCATCTCAAGCGTGTAGTGCTCGACAGTAATCAGGCTGGCCTCTGCGTGTCTGCGATCCTCCTCCAGCTCGGCTCGCAACTCGGCCTCACCCTCGTCCAGGTTCTGTAACTCCCTCATGTTTTCTCTCCCTCCTGCTTTGCCAACACCCGCCTCCTTGTTGAAGGCCTCACTACGGTTGACCATGAGTTCGAATTGGTGCTGGGCGCTGTTTGTGGAGAGAGGCCGTAGAGGGATCAAGACCATGTGCCATAATGTGATTGGCTGAGAAAGGTCATCCGTGTAGTAAATTTTGTATGCCTGTGTAGTAATTAAGACAAAAAAGAATAGAGCCAATTTTGATCTTCTCTTCATAGAAGAATATGAGATTGTGAGCAGAAATAACGAGAAAGAGACAAATTTGTAGGTAGCTAGGGCTGGTATTATTGTAGAGTGAAAAAGTCTATTAGCCATTAAATTTGGCGGCACGTACAACGAAAGAAGTAGTTAGTCACATCATATTTTTAGACATCCGGTAAAAATAGTTTTTTACAAGCGTTTATGTTGACATGGTACAAGCATGAGATACGCCGCCTCATGCTCTACTAATCACAATTCACTATATAATTTATAAATTATCTCTGCATTATCGATATGATTGATTTTCCATTATTTTATCGAAATCTATTATATTCTCTCCAATTAATGCCGAATTCAGATGGAGCATAAAGGAATGTAAGGGCTGTAATATAGTAAGGGGCATCTAAATCAAATCAGTAGTAGATTGGGCAATCAGATGAAGGTAACCGCTCTTTCGGCAATGGTAACGAATACCCTTCTTCCATCAGGAAGACAAGGCTCTGTTCGGATTGTAAGTAAACTAAGAGATGCATTTAGAGACATCACTACGAAAATACAGGCATCAGTAATAATAATGGAATACTAATAAAAAAGATTGAGAAGCAAAAATTTAGCAATATTATTTTTGGAGGGCAGATTCCAGGTGCATTAGGATCAACTATTTTGCTTTATGAAACTGATAGCGAACCGTCACAAGAAGGAAGCGAAACAAATTTATGTGCTGTGCACTAAAATTTATTGCACTATGCGGTCGGAAAGGCCGTTCTCATCCTGACCTCATATCGTCGTCTCATTGCCACCCCTCGCGGGATTCGAGTCCAGGATGTGTGGGTTAATTGGCATACAGATAAACTCCTGGCTCAGACGACACTAGTTCCGATGAGTAATAAGAAAGATAAAGCTCTTAAGCCAAAGCAAGACCCTCATAATTAATATCTCTAGTTATCAACTTTGTGTCGATGGGCAACAGCGTGTCTTCCCATAAACTCGATAGAATACTTCAATAAAAATATGTTTCAAGACAATCAGTGATTCTTAAATTTGAATGCTATAATCCAAGGTTGATTAAGAAGATTTAGGAAAATAATGGAGAATTTCCCACAATGAGATGAGTAAACACTAGGATACCATTACATTTCACTTAGCCTTGCCTCCCAAAAGGTGCTTTCACACAAGATGGAGTGCAGTTTAGAGGGTGTTGAGCCACCGTCCAACTTGTCAGTCGAATGGTGGTTCTAATTAAATTGACACAATGATATGAGTAAAGCTGACTTATATCTTTGTGGGAAAATTCTACTACCAGTCCTTCATCACCTCAAACTAAATAGGGTGAATATATCTCATATAACTAATTTACTGGTAGTCTCGAAACTCTACTTTCACAATACTAGCCATGCTTCTCCTGCGTCATTAAGCTTCGATGACCTGGGCTTACGTTTAAATGTATTTAATATGAGTTATGTCCGGTTTTAAGCATAGACTTTAGCCAACACACACACACGCATATATATATATATATTCACTTTTTTTATGTTTATTTATAAACAATCCCAATTTCAATTCGATTCTTCAAGGCATAAATGTAAAAAAACACTGATCGAGACAGCGTAAGTCAGTAGACATCTCTGGTTGAGATAATGAGATGTCCGTTTGTACGCATGTAAGTAAGATCCTAACCCCTCAGTCTGGATTCATTAAGATTTAACCAACCAACCAAATGCATGACTGGGGATGCGAAATCTCATACGCTTAGTTTGGGTGGTGGGCTTAATCTGACATATTGGACGAGTGTGAATGAAGTTGGAAGCATCACTGAGCGAACATGTTTGGTCACCTTCTTTTGAATGGCGTCTCAGCACACTTCCTCTCCTTTAATCTATCAATCAAGCATAAGTAGTGCTTACTCAACTTTCTACCACCGTTCCTCACATTCAACGTATCCCCTAAGTTATTAATTTCAATAGCCTCTCTTATCTCCCTTTTAACAGCAGACGTACCATAATCAGCAAGCCCACTCGTCTGATACAATTAAAACTCATGTCCAGTCTCTGGCTTGCGTGTTCGGCCACTTATGGCCACTGGAGTTAGCCGCCTTTGCAAGCATTTTATTCTTCTCCTAATCTCTGCCGACATGTCTCACTAGCATAAGGTCAATCAATCTTCTAGTAGCTGAATCTCTAGATTGGGTAATATTTTTCAAATAAAATATAGCATTGGCAAATAAATTGTCGGGGTTTCTTTAAACACTGTTTTTATCCCAATTTCCTAACCAATTCACCTATTTTTTTAGAAGAAAGTCATGACGGCAAATCTAGGATACAAGAAAGATCTCCGTTTGTCTACCTTTGATTAAGTAGTCTCCGGCTGGACATTTTTTCCTTAATAAAAAGTTATTATTAACAATTTGGCCCAAAGGATAATTGTTTTTTCAGGAATACATTTTTAGCCTTTCCAACTCTGGTCAAATAGTTGATATCCGCTAGTCTCACACTCTTAATCATCATTGACTTTACAATTCCAGCCTTACTTTTGTAAGTATAGTTGGAAAAAAAGTTCAGAAAATAAAAAAATACGTTGGCTTTCTACAAACATCTCTTCTTAATTTACTCTCTTCTCTAATGATCAAAGCATCCAAAGAGGGTAAGGATTTATCCTTTCTTATTTCCATTGTGGACTTAATGTTTCTTTCACGTTGGTAGGAAACTAGCTCATCTTTTCTTACCATGCGACCAGATGACAAAGTAGTCATCCACGTACCTAATCCACGAGTTGGAGGTTAGTACTGCCTCTTTCAAATAGTTGTTTGCCAAGATGGGGACTAAGCAAGGTCCCATCGCAAGTCCTTGTGCCTGTTCATAATACTTACCACCAAAGCTAAATTAGCTGATACTCATGGATATATTAAGAAGTCTAATGATGGAGGTTATACCTTATCTTAGTCCTTCCATGATCTCTGGATGCTCCTCCAGAGTTTGTGCTAGAGCCTGAATGGTTCCTTGAACAGGAATTCTGTATACATAGACACAACATCAAAACTGAATAGTCCACATTCTTCTGAAATTATCTGCTAAGCAATTAATTTTTCAAACTTACGAGCATGTTTAACTGAATATAGCCAAAAATCGACAGTTTTCCTTAGACGTATGCATAAAAAACGTGAGATTTTATACATCACGCTTCTATTACTATTTATAACTAATATAAGAAGGACACTCTCCTTGTGGGGGAGACCGTAAGTCGTGAGAGCCCAGGAGTAACGAATTCCTTTAATACTTCTCTATTTCACCATTACTTACGCATATCTTAAGAGTTTCATTTAGCCTAAATTTAAGTATTTATGTTGGATCTCTCATCAAAGACATATGTGTGTTAGTATCATTTAAATGAACTAGCCTATATTTCTATATAATTTG